CACATTCCTCCATTTTGCTTCAGTACTACCAGTCGCAGAATGCTATTTCTACCAATATCTTTATCGTCTACGCCACGCAAAATACATATTCTACCAAATGGTAGAAGGTCTATTCTACCAAATATCGTTTAAATCCCCTAAATCTAGGACCATTAGTTATTTACTTTCCAAAAAATATTTTATTCGGTATTTAATTTTCAAAAAACGTAGATTTTTCCGGAAAAAACATATTTGATTTTTTTGTCAAATGTTTTTGTAGTGTTTTTGGAAAAAACACATTTTTAAAACACATTTTCATTTATTTTTTTGTCAAATGTCGAGGGTTTTGTCTCTTTTTAATTTTTTTTTTAATTTTTAACTGTTTTTTATTTTTTGTTCATATCCCAGTTTTAATTTTAAGTATCTTAAAAAGAAAATTTCCAAAAATGAATATTCTCTTTTTCTTTCAATTTCGCAAAAACAAATATATATTTCAAAAATATTATAAATAAATTATTTTTATTTAATTTGAAGGTTAAAATTGGGATATGAAAATAACAAAGGTTATTGGGACAAGAAATCATAGGTAGAAGGTTAATTTACAAAACACTAATTCAAACTGAGTCAATTTAGCAAATTTCCCTTAGTTTAATTGATTTGATCTTTAAAATTCTCATTGAGTGACACAAGAGATTTTCATTTAATGTCTCCTCAATTAATATATAGAGGATCATTTACCAATATCAATTACTTTAATAAATTTGTAATAATGTCTATTTGGATATCATATATGACTGATTGTACAGTTATTTTTATTTATATAGTTTAATTGTATCTATATTACTCTAATAAAAGTTGCACTTTTGTTATAAACGTAAAAATTTGTAGATCCAACATTAATACTTGAATTTCAAAAAATCATCATTTTCACCTTTTATCATTTTTTTTGATTTTTGATTTTATTTTAAAAGATGTTTGCATACTAACGCGATATTTGTTTTGGTTTCTGTGAACTCAAATAAGTTTGGAAGAACCGATAATCTTAAACGTATTCGATTTACATAAAAATGCTTGTATTTAATCTAAATATCATGCAAATTAAATTTTATAAAACAAATTACATTTATAAAATAATAGACATACCATTTGATCTTTATTGTTTTTGATTTCTTCTATATATTATAAAAAACTTATGAGTTTTTGTTTTCGAATACTCTAATTATGCGTTTAACGCGGGATAAAAATCTAGTATTTCATATTAGACTATTTATATATGTCATCAATTTCAGCATTATTATTCTAGCCGAGATACTAGTGTATGATATTTTGCCACGAGGTTTGATATTTTGGTTCTTTGAAGTTCCATATGGTAAAACTAGGAAACAAAATGGACCCATTACGATAAGGAACGGGAGAGCATCTAACCAAATATACCAATTTACGTCACTAAAATCCAATTATCAAGATACGATTTATTGTTGGGGAAATTGTAAAAATGCCCACTTTTTATGTTCTAAAAATTATCTTCTACTTAGACGGTTAAAATTATCTAGTAGATTCTATTTTGACCAAATCGGTCAACATGAAGTTAATGTTTTTTTTTCAATAACGTTTTTATAGATTTTTATTTTATTGTTTTTTCAAGTAAAAATCCAATAATGGCTAAACGTAAAAATAAAATAAAATAAAATAGTATTTGAACATTATTTTAAGTTTTATATAAACTCAATAAATAAAAATAACACAAAACAAATCTCCGATTAAAGTGGCTACACTGGTATTTATAAAAAAAAAATTATTCGAGTGTAAAAAGACTAAAAATCTATGAGAATTTTCACAAAACATTGAAATATTTATGCGAGTATAAAAAGAAATTAAAAATCATCAAGTTGTTTTGATTAGTATTGTTCTATTGTTCTTTCAAAGAACAAATAATTATTAAAAAAAAAAGAACTTCTTTGGGATCAGTCGGCACAAATAATTTTATT